CCCCCCCTCTCAATCAAAAAACTGCTCCGCCGTCCCTGAATAGACTATACTTTTTAACATCATATTTTTCAACCGATTCCGTGCGTAGCAGAGATGTAAGGGATTAGTCGATATGGTCTGGGGACGGCTAGTCTCTCYCCTGATGCTTTCGGGCTAGAACATTTTCTTGCGTAATTCGTACACCCAAGGGCAGAAGGATTTAATCGCCGTCAGGTCCGAAGTCCATACGACGCCTCAGCTCTGCGGATGTCTCTGGGGTATGGCACACTGTGGGATCGATTTTTTTCTCGAATTCTGTCAGTGGTTTCAAATCCCATCGTATCCAGATAATATTTTCTACTTTTTAAAATCAATTATCCGCTGGCAATATCGTTTTCATATAAAGAGTTACTACCTTATTCCTTCTTCAGTGTTTATATTCAGAAATTACCACTCTTTTCACTGCTACGCGCTGATCGAGACAACCGAGTCGCAACATGGATATAGGTAGGGCAATACACTGCCGCCAGTCAGAGAATATAAAGGTACCGACCAATTTATTTGATTGAGGGAAGTGTATTGCTCAGCGCGTAGCAATGAAAAGAGTGGTAACAGTCAAGTAACTAAAAGCCTTACCATTTGACAGAATATAGATATGCTGTCGAATCATCCAAAAAATTTAATAGAAAAATATAATAAAAGCCCAAATCCTGGCTCGGATTCCAAAACAAGATGCTAACTTCTCTTGATGGATTTGCATAAGCATTTTTTCTTTATTTGCTTTTCCTTTATTAGTGAAAATTCTTTTGTAGCACAGTTCGAGTTCAGGGTTATGGATGGAACTACATTCTAAGCGCCTGTAAAAATATTTTAAAACTAATACATTAGGTTTATTTGTGCCTTGCTTTAGAAGGTATTAAATATTCAACACCGTGTCTTGTAAATACAGCTTGGCTTGCGTAAAAACAGCGAAAAAATATGGAAGTTCTAAGAGTTCCAAAATCAAATATTTTTACCCTGACCCCAAACTAGCATATTACTAAGTCTTACCATGATAATGTCTCTGGAAAAGCTGGACTTTCCTTGAACTATTTTTAAGTAACAGTGTAGCCGAAGGAAGGCAGTTTTCACTTCACTTCACTTCTTCAAGACTCATGAGTTTCTTGTTGGACCGCCTTCTCGAACTCCACTAGTTAACACTGACCGAAACAATGTTGGAATGTTGAAATTCACTAGCAAAATTTTCAATCTAATTGCATCTCAGCAGTTAAATCACAACTTTCACTCCATTCATTTCAGTTACCATTATAAATTCCTAAACACAAAAGCTAAAATGCTTACAAGCAAATGAAGAATGTTTGATCTATTTTCTGTTATCGTTCTGTCTGTAAACTTTCCACTTTCTACTACATGTTTGTACTCTTGCCGAGCTCACGATAAATAATATTTAACGATTATTCGCCGAAGGCGAAGTGATTATCGGTGGAATATTTACCGAGCCGCGAGTCTTCGAGTATTTAGTATAACAGACTTGAATATCAGAGTTTTACCTGGTTACTTCCGATCTGGAAAACTTTACAATACCTCATAATCACCTCTTCAGTGCTCCGCTGCAGCGTAGATTATCGTCTCAGAATCACGGGTTGCTCGACCAATCACAGCTTGAGAAACTCTATATTCAAGCCTAAAATTAGTATAGGAAATCGCACGATCTCTAGTACAACAAGAGAGTCCATACCTCGGGCTTCCCTTGGAGCCCGAGCAAATAGGAATTTATAGGTACGAGTGATGTTTTGAAAGTTTTCAAAATCGGACGAACCTCGCTAAGCGAGTTCAATTTAAGAACTTTCAAAACCTCACGAGTAGAGTGCTTTTAGTAAAAGCGTGAAACTTTACTAATACTAAATTTTACTATTTTGTACAAATTAGTAATTAGTAAATTAAGTGTGCACGTGCAATCACTGAACCGCGATTGTGCGAATAATCAAGTCAAGCGCAGTAGAGCGCGTTTAAGAAACGCTTGTGTACAAGATGCAACAAAACGACTGGGTATGATTAATTTTGTGATATTGAATGCCGTGTACATTCATCGTTTACAGCCAGGTGGAATACACTAAAAACAGAATAAATAATTATTATTAATCCTACTTTAGACAATGTACTTCGGTCTTGGAATGCACAATTTGCAGTATTTATGAACCCAACCTTTTTTGAAATAGTTATATAAAATACTCAACAAAAATGAGCAAGTTAATTGGGACTCTACAGAGTACAGTACTCCTCTTGTACTCCTCTTGCCCAATCAGATTCGACATGGCAAAATATTGGGTGACATTTGCTTGCTATTTTTGATTTTCGTCCCCAGTCCCCTAAATTTTGACCCAAAATCTTCGTAAAAATGGAAAAACTTTGAGTGAAAATGAAAATTTCACAATGTTGTAACTAAGTTTCTTCAAATGTACGACCGAATTTAAGTTCTTTAGCTACTATTCTAACGACAAATGTTAAAATATTCCTGAAAGCTGAAAAAAAGGCAATGTAAATCCGAGTTCGAAAATTCAAGGCGAGATACAGAGCGTGACCACAAACGTGACTCGTTAGTCCGCGCGGCCATCACTTTAAGCGGCTATAAATTATTCAAAACATGCATTTTCCTAAATGTACGAGTGGATCTAGGAGGTCTGGCATCTTATTATCGTTTTTGCACCAAATTCGAAACATTTTGAATAAAAAAGTCTCTGTAAATAAGCACTCGAAAASAGATGATGTTTGCGATTCCGGGCTTGCCCTCGCTTATAATTAACTGTATTATGCATGGGATTGCGCTGGCCTTGTTTTGTGCCGAAGCCGAAGCCATACAAAACGAAAAATACAAAGAAAACAATGCGAGAAATGTCGGGAATAATAGCCGCGACAGTACACCTTTTGCTGTTCATTAAGAGAAAATGTACATTCATTTGTGCCAATAGTTGTATCAATAACGTGTAATGTACTTTCATCAACACCACAAGTAACATCATTAGCGCGGATCAACTTTCAATAACGATATTTGAATATGCGTGTATGTGAGACACAAAACTAGTACGGCATTTCGTGACTAAGTCTTTATGTAAATATTAGAGTGTGTGACGAAATGTTCATGTAACCAGATAGTAGTTTCGTAACCAGAGATATAGATAGGGATATATTCTTACACACATGTACTGAGCATAGATCTCAAAGAAAGAAGCAGTAAATATAAGTTCCAGCAAAAACGTGTCAACTATTGGTTCGAACGGGATCAAAAGTACCGTGTGTAACATGTACATTCATAGGCATCAATGGACAATCAATAGCGCGTTTGTACATTCATATGCGCGGAATGTATTTTCTTGTGCGCGAAATTCAACTTCAATAACA